TAGTTCCCACGGGGACCAGCCCCCGTGTGCCGCAGTGACCAGCGCCGTTTGGCCAAGCACCAGGAGGGATGTGCGACGTTCCGACGTTCCCGGCTCACCAGGCTCACCCCCTCCCCGGGAGCAGGCTGCGGCAGTGCCGGGACGCACACGTCGGCGGGGGACCCAGCAGCCCCCAGTCCAGCCCGGGAGGCTGGAGGAGGCTGGATCCCCTCTGCTCACTCCTCCCAGCCTGGTCTGAAGGTGCACTTAATGTTCCCGTGCAGTTAATTAATTAAGTAATTGTTAAGAGCAGAACAAACAGGTCAATCAGTGACTTTGGATCAATTAAAACACTTGCTAGTAGGTGCAATCCAGCCACCTATGAGCACACACTGACTTTGGAACACACTTTGCTTTCATTAATTAAGACTCTCCAGATTACAGCACCCTCCTGTCGCAGCCACGTAGGTGCAGACCTGAGAAATCCCCAAACGAGCTGCTGTAGCCATGTGTTCTCCGCACCGCCGTCCACAGGGAAAGCCCAGCGAGTGCCAGAGTGGGCACGGGCACAGCGTGCGCTGCCCCAGTGCCGCAGCGATGGCGGGGAGCTGGTGAGGGGCTGCACACACCGCACGGCTCCGGCGCTCGCTGCCGGCGTTAGTCCTGCTGGATGGAAGCCCAGGTCTCTAAGCATTGCTGGAAATCCGAGAAAGCATGGGCCACGATCGAGCCGAGTGCAGCAACGAGGCAAGAAACATGACCTGAGCATCCCCACAAAGCTCAGAACTGTGGAATAATAAAACAAAATCAGCTGGATCTTATCGTGCCACGTCTCAAAGACAGCTCTAGCACAAGCCCTGCGAGTCCTGGGAGACACGGGATTTGGGCGAGCAGGGGCTCCGCACCAGCGACACCCGTACCCCAGGGACTCTGTGCCCTTGAAATGCCACTTTCCTCTGATGTTTCACAGATCTTCTTTTTTAACGGGAAATGGCTGTAAGAAAATCGTGCAAGACTGCCAAAACCACCAACCTAAACTGTTGGAGGATGCTTGTCGGGGATGGCTCCGGATGAGCAGAGTGCCGTCTGAGTGGGTCTGCCCTGCCAGCAGGCATCCCTGCACGTGTTGCTTACGGATGAGAACATCAAAGCACGACATAAACCCCAGCCTGAGTCACCTTTCTTACAACAAGCGACCTTCTACAGCCTGCAAAAACCAGCCATGGGGCCTCGATGCCAGGGAGCCCAAAGACACCCCCGGGCTCAGCCCAGCCCACGAAAAGAAAGACACAACAGCTGGAGCACTGCGAGCGCTTCGGGTTCGCAGCATTACGTAATAATTCATCATTTTTCCCATTCTTCACTTCCTCCTTAAACAAACCCTGCCCTGCTTTTAAGACAGCCAGGACCAGGAGCCCAGAAGATACGCAAATGTGAGCGTTACCATAACAAGGGCTGGGAGTAACTGGGGTCATCGGAAAACACATGGCACTGATGGGACAGAAAAGAGATTTCGGCTCATCAGATGGCTGGGAATTTCGGAGCGTGGTCCTCTGCAAACGACTGCGCTGCCAACGTGCCAATCTGGCTTGGCCGTGACACGCGGGGCTGGCAAAGTCACCTTCAGCACCACTGTCACCCTGGGACGGGCACTGGGGAGCACAGCAATACTGTGCTCATTTGCAGCTGTTCCCTAAATATATCCATCAGCTTCAAGAAGGAAGAACATCAAAACGACGGTCTCTTGAAACAGCCAGCTGAGCTCTAAACGCAGGATTTGAGCTCTCCTCGTTTGGGTGGGGAACAGAACGCTGGTGCTTCAGAGAAAAAAACATCATGAATAAAGCAGCCAGATGGCTGGAAGAGAGAGATGGATCCAGAAAGCTGTCCTGGCTCTTGTCTACAGCAGGGAAGGACGGGGTCCATCCAAGCCTGGAGCACCCAAACTCACCAATACGTAAATATCCCTGCAGAGACTTGCACGGAGCAGGTAAAACACGCACGTCCCTTCCTTGGGCAGCCGAGGAGCAACTCCCAGGGCTCCTTCCAGCACCCTCCTCCTAACTAACCACTCGTCGGGTGCCCCCCGACTGCAAACGAGAGCCAAAGCCAGGACAACTGCTGAGTTCTTGGTGTCACTGCTGCTGCTGTGCCCTTCCCTGCTGAGCCCCAGAGGGAAGGGAGCCCGTCACCGCAGGCACGGCTCACCCCGGGACACCCTGGGACACCGCCTCCCGGGAACCAAGGCTCTGACACAGCATCTTTTTGGGGAAGAGCACCCCAAGATCCCTCAGCCGGACCAGCATGGGGCTTCTCGTCCTTCAGCCCCACGAAGGAGCTCTCGCTCTCATCGCTCATCTTCATTTTCTCTTTAAAACGCAGATTTGGGGCTTTTCTCTCTCCCACCGTGGCCGAACTCCAGCCTCGGCTGAGCAGCACGCTCCGCACCGCGCTCCCGCAAATCGACGTGCTTTGTGCCAGCGCCTGATAATGCACCCCGCTGTACATTTTGATGACATTACAAATACAATTACTATTAAGCTACTACGGGTCTGCCAGGAATAATCCTGCGCTGACTCACTCCAGATGCCAGAGATGCTGCGTGAAATAGCTGCTCCTGCCACATTTCGATTACCGCGCTGCAAAGCCGGTCCGCAGGCTTTAAATGAGCTGAATGTGTTTGGTAAATGAAATTTCTGGGATAATATTAAAATGTAATCCTCCTGGATAGCATTGTCACCGTTCCAAAGGACTCTGCTGATTCCCCCTCTCTGCTCCTGCTGACACGTCCCTGGACGTTTCCATTCACGGGATGCGCCGCGACTGGGCAGAGGCGGCTCTAAAGTCCTCCGTCCCCTTCCCCGCTCCCCCTCTCCACTTCTGATTTGTACAAACTCGATTGCATCCCCATTGCAAACTGAATTTCCTGCAGTTTGTATGCGGTTTCACTCTCTACTCAGGTTTTTGATCACCAGAATGAATCCTGAGGAAAAGCGCAGGGCTTTGCCGTGGGATCGTAAGGGACATCACGGGCTGGGGGGGCATGGAGGGGCTGGGAAATCACATCTAATGCCATCAACAGCTCCCTGATGGAAAACTCTCAGGGGTGCAGCTCTCGTACATCTCCGTCTCCAGGTTAACCACACGTTTTGTTCACGGAGGCACTTTGGCAAGTGAATCGGACAAGTTGTGAGTTTGCCACCGCAGAAAGTATGTGGCTGCTTTTGCAAGGGGAGAGAGATGTATATCCAGGAAAGAAACATGAATAAAAGCAAAGGTGTTTCAGAGAAGCTAAAATACGCCACCAGGGCAGAAGTCCCCACAGCTCCATCCACACAGTTCCCAGATGCCCTGCAGCCACCCGGGAAGGCACCGGCCCCGGCTAATGGTGACACTGGGTCTCTGCCCACAAACTCACCAGTGAAGCCAAGTGACTCAAATTCATTCAAAGTGTCAGACTCCCCCAGCTCAGTCCAGGGCCCAGCGGGGTCCCCAGTCCGCTCTGCCCTTGGCCCCAGGCTGCAGCACTGGCACTTACCATCGTCTGAAAGCAGGAGTGGAGCTGGGTCAGGAACGGAGGCTTCCCGGAGAGAGCCAGGACGCGTTTTTCAACCATTGTGCACTCTACGTCATCGTCCTGGATAACGACGTCCTTCTTCAAGATCTTAATGGCGTAGAGCTCGTCCGTGCCCTTCCTCTCCGCCAGCATCACCTGCGCGAGGGAGAGGACACACAGACGGTAACGGGAAACACGGACCCGCAACGCTTCCAGCTTGGCACCGCCCATGGTTAAAAACAACGATTTGCATATTATCCTGTGGCTCCCGTTATAACCCTGGAAGAGGTTCAGGTGCCAAACGATGCAGAAAGCCACCAGCGGTATGTCCAAAAGTGTTCAGGAACCATAAGTCTAATGACAGCACATCTGCTCCCTCGCCACCTGATCGCCTCGAGGAACCCAGCCCAAGGGGTCTGCTGGTGTCTGAGCCACAGATCACCCCGAGCCGGGCCCTGGTGCAGCACCCTCGGGGTGCAAGCAGCATCGGGGGAAGGCGTCAAGAGCTTGAACACAGAGTCCATCAAATTATGAAGTGTTAAAAACTGGAAAAGAGTCAGTACACAGCCAACAGCAAGGAGAAACCAGCAAGATGTTCTCTGCCTTGCACATCCCCTCGATGACATGCACAGTGATCAAAACCCAATTATGTGCCGGTCCATCGCTCCGCCAGAGCCCCTCTCATGCACAAGAATCCATCCAGCCTCCCATTTTAAACCAGTTTCACCCCTTTGCAGGTTTATTTATCACAATAACTGGGACACACTGCTTCTGTGGGTGCAAACGTCCCTCGTTAATCACATCAGCCCCAGTGAGCATCCCCAGACTGTTCCACTACGCTCCATCAGCGTAAGCTGCTCCTTGGGCTGCCGGCAAAATAGATGGGACTCAAACCACACTTTGCTTCCCATTTTCCCCCCTCTCATCACATTAGATCCGAGCGCTCAGTGAAATGAGCTGCTCTCCATTCGAAAGAGCCCGCAGAAATCCTCCAGCCACATCAGGAACAGGAGTTTGGATGTTTTGAAAACAAATTACAAGAAGTCAACACCAATGGGGTGGAACTGAGACGCAGTTCAGACTGCAGCAGACTGGTGGAGGAAACACGAGGGGTCTCACGGATGACTTTTGATACCCTAAGGACAGCGGCATCAACCATCTCGTCGGCCCGAGGCAGGTGGCACAGGGCTGGAGTCTCGCACACCCCGCTGCCATGCACCTGGCTCTGCCCCGGAGCACTGAGTCGTGGGGCAGAATAGCCCCTTTTGGGGTCTGGGGAGAGGGCAGCGGTGTGCCAGCCCTGGGCTGGGGTGGGGGACACAGCCCGAGGAGTGGGGACAAGGCAGGGGACACGGCCCAAGAAACAGAGTCTTTGGTGCCCACCCACTTGTCAGAGTGAAAATAAGAGTGCTGAGCTGGCAGCAGCGCCCGTGGGCATGGCCAGCCCAGTGCCCTGCCCCCAGCCCAGTGCCTTGCCTATAGCCCAGTGCCCAGCTCAGTGCCCTGCCCGCAGCCCAGTGCCCAGCCGGTGCCCTGCCCGCAGCCCAGTGCCCAGCCTGGAGCCTTGCCTACAGCCCAGTGCCCAGCTCAGTGCCCTGCCCACAGCCCGGTGCTCAGCCCGATGCCCTGCCTGCAGCCTGGTGCCCAGCCTGGTGCCCTGCTCGGTACCCTGCCTGCACCCTCCCTCACAATTCTGCACAAACTGAACCGTTTCAGTTCATCACCTCCATTTATCTTCACCACTTTTACACCAGTCAGGATTTACAAGTCACCGTGCCCAGGTGCTCAAAGACGGGGCCGGTTTGGAAGCGATAACAGCAGACGGGCTTTGGCCATTCAAAGGCGGGGGGAAAAACAGAAGCGGCCGCTCCAAGAACACAGTTTGTGGGAAGATGAAACCCTCTGCCCGGGAGCGAGCGCGTTATACGCAGTATCGGTTACGCACAGACCTCAACCCGTAACCCTTTCCGAGAAAAAAAATAACTAAAGCAGGGAATCCCTGAGCCTGGCATCTGCTACCGCCCCGAGGGGACTGCGCCGGGGAGGGGATGGCAGCTGGAGCCCCTTTGGAAGCAGAGAGCTCGCAGAGCCAGGCAGGGCACGGGAAGCATCCTGGTGCTTTTTGAGATATTTTACATGGAGATGTCAGGAGAGAGCATGTTGTTGTTGGTAATGGAGCGTGTTGGGGAAAAAACCCCCAAGAGACCTCCCTGGGGTACACACTGGCCGAACACCAAGGGAAAACCAGCTGCTGGAGAACGGGAACCGGCTGTAGGGAACAGCTCTGTCGGGAGCTGAGCTCTGCCCGGGGGACGGCAGC